GTCTAATTCCGTTTTGGAGACTAAAGAAAGATAGACGGACATACAGGCGGTCTGAAGAATGACAATGGAAATTTATATGTCTACAGTTTTTTCAAATTGCAGCCCGACAGGAGGAATTGAAATGCTTTAGCAGTTTTTAATTTTCTGTATATAGCATACTTCCACTATATTATGCAAAGTAACAGAAAAACATTTTCTTGAAAGATAAGATTTTATGTAAATTCGCGAAAATTAGAACTGACTAGAGATAATCAAAATTTCTATTTTCCTTTTTTTAGAGGATAAAATAGAAAATGCAATAATTTAATTGGAAATACAACAAATAACTGCAACTTATTTCCAACCGTATAGGCATTTTGATTTTATAGGAAAATTATCACAGAAGTTAGGCAGTACTTATAACAGAAATAAATTTTTAAAAATTAGTGTTTATATCTATATTAATCACGAAACTAATTTTTAAATAAAATAAAATAAAATGTGTGAATATATCCGTAAATTCGACTATTAAATTAAACACGAGCTATTTAATTCCGAGTTACTTTCAGGACTGGTTTGCAATGTTTCTTGAAATATTTAGTAAACTTTTATGTCAGAAAATTTCAATTTCTGAAATTTTTCTGTTTATGTTATGTGATATTTATGTTATATTCTCAAAAGTTAAGAAAAGTTCATTCTGTTTATTGCCGTTAAATTAATTGCATTGTTTTATAAGTTATTTATTGATTCATAAATTTTTTAATGAGAGAGGTCTTTTAATATTTTGCAGAATATCTATTCTGCACAACTTCGAAAAACGTGGTTAGTTCATATTCTTAGACGTATGATATAACACAGGAACACTTCAGGATCGAAGAAGTAATTTATCATGAGAATGGNTATTTTGATATATTTATGTATGTGACTGTCACAAAAATTTTAAAAGTTTATTTGAAGAGGTTGTATTTTAGTAAATTCGATTCTTGTATGGTCGTGAGAATCACAATATATATTAAAATCTTTTCCTGCGGGTTAGTAACAGGATCTTTTCTCATGGTCGTTATAGTTTTCATCGGGCCTACAATGGGAATAGCAGGATAATGAGACGGGACAAGACATATTAGGATTAGATCGCCTAGGAAAATTTCTCAGCTATTTGCACTCAAACTCAATTTCCTTAGAGTTGCCGGTCAATGTCTTTATTGCCACAGGTCATCCATTTGTCAAGTATTACATTAATCTAAATCTCTCTATAAATTAACGAATGTTGCTTTAATTAAGTAAATTGCTTTTGGGATTAAACTTAAATACATCACGACCATATATCTATATATTCAACCATATTTACACATCTTAATATAAATAGTTTACGTTGGATAGTTTCTTTTAATAAAAACAATAAATAAATTTAAACAAGATTAAAATGGATTAATCTTCTCTCGAATTGACTAATATAACCTTTTATATTTAACATTGCAATTCTCATTCTTATAATCGATAAAACTACTACACTTAACTGATATATAAAAAGGAATAAGTTTTATTTGAAAAAATTACATCGAAATTCTGAAGAACATAAAACAAAAAATAAGCAATTTATCATTATTAATCGTTTTTCTTGTTCATTATATACGATTGCTTTCCTATAACTGATAATATACTCTATTATTTTTACTTCAAGAAGTTTTAACCTAATTAATTAATTACATAGTTTATTTTCCATTAAGCCATTGAATTCTTGCACACTGAAAATCGATATAATTTTAAGTTAGCGATTGATTAACGAACATTTCTCTTATTTTCTATTTTTTAGTTTCCTTTTTTTTGTTAATGAAAAATAAGTGATTAATTCACGTATTTTCTGTTAGCTAATAATCACCATCGAATAAGAGTTAGGGTAATTAAATTCAATTGAAGGAATTATCTGATGTATAATTGCAGATAAGAAATAAAATAATAACGATGTGTCATTACGCAAATAATTTTCGTTAAATTTAATTTTATTTGCCTTTGTAATGATGAAGATCATCATCTTATCGTTTCATTTAATTTGCAAATTAAAACGATCTAATTATTGAAACGAGAATGAAAACTTACCGTAAGCCACTTGTTAAGAAACAATTATTTTTTTAATTTAACAAAATATTTTCTAATAGCTCTAATTGACTCGTGTTGACATCTTGAATGAAATTTTATTGTTTTGTTTTTATTATTGATAAATTTGTTGTTTTTCGAAATATTTTGCATTTAAACTATTTGAATCTGTGGAAACAATATTTATTTTTGAAAATTATTTACATTTTTTCGCTATTAAAATGTTAAAACTTTTGAAATTGTCATTAAATAAACACATTAGTTAGAATCACTTGTACAGATTAGAATGATTGTTATAAATATTTTTATAAACATTAAACATCATGATGTTTGTATTGAGAGATTTAGATATAATGGTTAAGAATATAAAAGCTGAAATCTTTATTTAAGACATTAACATTGTATTTTTAACTTTTATAATAATTTCATTAAAAACACAAAGTTAATGTCTTGAATATGTTAAATTATAATTATTATATAAGCCGTAATTAATATCTTTTTAAATGAAATTTTTCAGTAGTATATGTAATTAACATTAAATCTATAGCAATCAAAATTCACTTTTCGGAAATAGCCTTTTTTTAAATATTTATTTAAATACGTCTAAACAAATGGACAAAATTAACATTTAAGAGTTAATGTAATTACAAATAGTACAGCATATCATTTATTTTTCATTAAAAAATTATTTGAAAGTTGCCACTTTTTACGAGTATTGTTTTTATGGTTGATAAACGGTAAATATTATATCAACAATTGTTTTTTCTATGTAAATCTCATCTTTATTAATTTCTTAATTGCGATCAAAGTAAACGATACATTTAAAATATTAATTAATAATTTTAAATTATTGTTTAAAATGATTAATTACCGTAATGCTGTTAATTAAGGTTTATTTTTGAAGTTTGCATTGTGTGGTTGAATAAGAAATTGTTCTCGGGTACGCCTTGCAATACACACTTCAAAGATAAACATACGGTAAAATTATTGTAACAATGAATAAATAACGGCATAATACAGTATTTTAATTAAGTTTTACACAATGCAGATGATAATTAAAGACTAGAAGAAATATTCCTTTTGTTACAAAATAATATTGAAATTATAATTATTTTTATACTTTTAAATTTATTTTTAAAAATCAACTTGTATGTTTGATGTCATCATTATAAGATTTGCTGTTTAATATATTATTTTCAAAAGTGAATGAAAGGAGATAGTTTTTAAGTAGTGAGAAGAGACCAAGCTCGATGAGTGTAGGATTTAAACGAGATTTTAACGTGCATCAATATGAAAATATATTTTGAAATTAAGTAAAAATGAACTTATTTTAAACGAATTTTACTTAATTCTTTTTTAATTCTTAGAGGAGTTAGGGAAATTTACAATTTTGTTTTTGAAAAATAGTAATTTCATCGAGTTGTGAAATTCACATTCAATGTAATTTTTTAAAATTTCTTTTTGACAGATGATTAAAGTTTTTTACTTTTGCTAGTCGATAAAATTCTAGGACATGAGCTAAAATTATCGAAAAACAAAAGTTCCTCCAGGAAAGGACATCATTAATAAGACATTTCCATAAAAAAGAAAATGAAAATATATGTACTTACTCAACAAAAACTGTTAATATTTTCATAATTTCTTCGTGCACAGTTTTGATGTGGCATTACTACATCCTGTACCAAACCTTTAGATCATTTGACGCCAAAAATACGATTCCTTACCTTCTCACTTTAGTAGGCTATTTGTAAGTATATATAATATTGATATAATCATGCACTTTTTCAGATAAAAATGCTATAGTTATTATAGATTTCCGTTTCCAATAAATCGATTTCAGATAATCTTCTATTTATCGAAAAATAAATAAGATTAAAATATAAGATTTCAAGTAGTTTTTGATGAATTTGTATTTATAAATATAGTTTTACACGCAAAACGTCGGCCGCAACCTCTCTATTAGTAAGCGTAATTTGCATTTCACTTTAAATATTCGAGATTTTCTCCCATATTTGTATTAATAAGTATATGTTGTTTTCTAAATAAATCGTTTAATTCGCTTAAAAGAATAATTGTTTAAAAACAACACGAAATTATTATTTTTAAGTACGGATAATCATTGTATTCTTAAGGAATGCCAATGTAGTTAAAACCATTAATTAATTTAAAAGATATTTTAAATATGCATTGAAATATGTAAAATTAATATATTTTTATTTATTTTACATTAAAAATTGAAAACTTTAATTTTAACATAATGAAAATTATATTAATATAGATATAAATTTAGTATACGAGTTATTTTATTTTATTTTTTAAAGCGTGAATTACACATGTAAAGATTCAAATTTATAAAATTTTTGAACTGTAGATAATTTTAATTATTTGTTCAAAACTAGTAAATATGAATGAATGATATGCTAAATATTTTATTTTGTAATTTATATTTATAAAGATTATTTGAATTACAATTATTGACATTAAATAATTAAATTACATCAAAATTAGTAACTTGAATATGCGTTTTTAATTTCCTTTTTTCAGAAACGCTTTACCACATTTATTACATTTCTTACACACGTTGATTTCGTTATTATAAATCAGTATCAACGTGAATTCCTATAAATTAGTTTGAATTGTGTCAAATAGTTGCTTAGATACCACTCGAAGAGACAGAATGATTGACAATCAATTTCTTAAGCTTTATAGTAATTTTATTTTAAAATAATATCAGTGATTTCTACTGTAATTTTCTTTAAAATAATTTCATCACTATTTTATGAAATGCAAATAAGTTACTGATATTATTTTTGAAAATATACTGAATAAGTTTCTTAGATATTTATGAAATGAAATAATTATAAATCGACAGCAATCTTTCTTTTTAATTTTATTTGAACTTTAGAAGAACATATTTAATTGCACTTTGAATAAAAATTTAAATTATTAACAACAATTTTCTAAAGAAAAAAAGTTATATTGAACATACATTTCTAAAACAACATATCGATGTTAATTATATTCTGGAAATTGCTTAAATAAATTCTATATTCACCAAGTATGGTCTCTTATTGTAAAATATTAATAGTCTCCGTAGCTTCGAGTTTATACTTTTACAAACAAGTTGTAGCGAAATGATCCTTTTCTTCGCAGGTACAAACTACAGTTTCAATAGTTGGTCTATTTTGAAGTGTAATGTTTTCGTTTTGAGGCATAGAAGGACCATTACTACAACGTGTTTCTATAGAATTTCCGTGACCGCTATACGATTGACTCGAGATACAACTTTTAAAATCTTTTTTACGGTATATAATTTCCATGAAACCTTTACGAACTCTTACGTTGAAATATCCGTAAAAGATGGGATTAAGAGCACTGTTGAAAAGGGCTAACGTTTCTGCGGCAATTATAATTTTTTTGGGTACCTTTATAGAATAATTGCTGTAGATGCGAATGTTGTGTACCACGAAATAAGGCGTCCAACAAATAACAAAACTGGCAATGATACATATTGTTAATTTTAAAGTTTTAATCTTGGCTCTCGGTATGGTAGATGCGGCATTAATCGACCTTCGAAGAGACATCGTTTGGGAACCTCTCCCGGCTTCCCAAATAGCTCTAAGAACATTAACATAGCAATACGAGATACAAAATGTCGGAATAATCAATATATATGTTGTGAGCCATGTAAAATATAGTTTCCTTTGCCAAATTGCAGTATAACCTTGGCTGACACATTCGTATCGTACGCGTCCACTTTCAGTAATTCCAGCTTCTACCTTTAAAAAAAAAATTAAAAATAAAATACGTAATTAGTAACGCGAAAATATGAAAAATAGTGTTAATAAAAATTTCCTTTCGTATAATAATAAATATCAATAATACAAATAAATTGAATGATCATACCGACGGAAATAAAGATTAAGTTATATAAAATCACAGGATTTAGTACATTAAAACAGTCGCTGTAAATAATGTAATAAATAATTAGCAATCGAGTATTTCGCATCAATCCTCAGTAAATGTAGCCTATATAAATCCCATAGATTCCTTTCCGAAGTATGTCCAGATTGAAATTGACTACTTATACCATGTATTAATTATCATTTGAACTTATTTCATGCTGTACTTTCTGTAATTTAATAAATTTTTTTTTACGTCAGATCATTTAGTAAAATTTCGTCGTTATTAAAAATGCAAGAAATATCACGAAGAAACGTGTTCTATTACTATAATAGTTTAAAATATGTAGCCTCCATCAGAGGGAAATCTCTAAAAATCTATAAATTCTGCAATAGAGATATATTTAAAATATTTTACTAATTTCTAGAATAAAATATAATTATCATAAATTTCTAGATTATTCCACAATTTTTCTTCTACGTAAATATTCACTTCAATCGAATAAAATCGTTTCTGTTACAAAGAAAGAATTATAAAGGGAACATATAATAAAAATAATTATTATATTTATTATAATAATAAATAATTTATACGCAGAAAATTAAAATAAACAAACTTCATTTAAACATATTTAAGCAAGTATTCAAATATCGATATAAATAAATTGCTTCAAAAAATGATATGTAATAATCTATTCAGAGTGTAAAATAAAAATATTAATGACTACATTGAATGATATAATGATATATAAAATTTTTATTTTATTCGTTAAAACTGAAGTTTAAATATAAAACAATGTATAAAAGTATTTTACTGTATAAATTTATTCATTTGTTCTTATATTTTTTCGATTTTAGTGTGAATATATTTGCATTTAAATAGGTACTAACATCATTCATTATTGAAAAACTATTCAGAAAATTAATAAATTATTATAAAAATTTTATTAGTGTAATTAATGAATCGGTAGAACATATTTTTACATATTATGTAATTATAGAACAATTAAATGCGTTAAAATAATTTTAAAGTTTTATATATCGTTTAAAAATATTTATATCTTATTAATATTTTTACATTTTCCTTCATTTTCACATTTTAATTATTATATATGTGCTGAATTATTTACTGAAATTTGTAAATATAAATTATATTCAATGAAATAAATTAGACATAATAATTTGATAAACTAAAACAATATGAAATATTTAAATTTAAAATATACCTGAACAAATATAAACAACTGAGGGATAGCCAAGATGAAGGCTAATATCCAGGATACGGCTATCATAATTTTGGCTTGTCTTATTCCTCCCGCAGATGTCAAAGGTCGGCAAATTGCTTGATATCTGTCATAACTCATAGTAGTAAGTATGAAAGTTGTGCTTGCCAAAGTCACAATTTGAGCGTACACAATAATTTTGCACGCAGCTCCTCCTAAAACCCATTCTCCAAATACCTATTTGAAACAAAATATTGTAAATGAAACATTTTAACTTTCTTAGAAACTAACTTCAAATTTGAGAATTAAGTAAAAATAATTTAATTGATAAAAGACTAAATAATAAAAACTAATAAAAAACACTATAATAATTGAATTTAATTGATTCATTGTGATTTAAAGACATGCTCTGTCTATAAGCAGAAATCTTTAAAGTTTCAAAACAAAGTTTGTTTAATTCAAATCTTTCTTATTTAGAAAAAATTATTTTCTAGAACACTTCGTTAATTTATCAATATAACGCAACATTAAACTAAATATTTTTTAATGTCGATTTGAATAAAACTTCAAAAAAATTGCATAATTTTCATTTTAAATTTTGTAATAAATTATATTATAAAGTACTTTTTTACAATAAATAATGTCATAAATGAAATTTTTAATAAAATTAATAAAATTATTCAATTCTTGAATATTATAATCACGTTTTAAAAGCTTAAAATCAGGAATAATTATCGTTTTGCCATTCTGTTATGTAATGTTTCTGGAAACTTTGTTGACAGAGACTCGATCGATAATTTTAAAAGTATCTTTCAATATAAAAAATTATATAATTAAATTAAACTAATTAAAAAAAGCATCTTGCTTCCTTCTTCCGCTATTCAATAACTTTCGTATAAAGTAATGAATGTATACAGTACATATTTATTAATTCATTATAGAATAATACCATTAAAATATTTTTGGTTAATTAATTATTTCAAAATATATTCATTTACTTTCTTCGTGACAAAAAAGAGCACTAAATAAAAATTGTGTTATAAGCAATGCAATGAGATGTAAAAATAGAAAAAGTTTATAAATAATAAGAAAATGTTACTTTATTTTCGATCGACAGCAATATATTTGATTTTACTTTATAAAATTTCCTACCTGGAAGCTATATCGTAAAGTAGTTTTGTATCATCTCCTCCAGTCAACGTTAATAATTCAAAACATATTAAAAAATTATAACTATACTTTACTACAATACTATTATTATACCTTACAATTCTTATTATCGTAATTTTAAAACTGTAGAAACCTATTCAAGATTTTTTATTTTAAAACTTCTTATCAATAATATACAAAACTTAAAGGAAAATTTAAAATGTCAGAAACTAAAAGGAAAATTTGAGTGTGTTCTGATAGAAGTATCAATACAATTGTCAAATATTTACTAAAGAATTTAATCTTTTCTAAAACAGCACTTAAAAAGTAGAATACTTACTAGTTATTTAAATTTCTACAACATTTTTACATTTAAATTATTTTTAAAATAATCAAAAGAAAATTTTAGACTTCACTTTTAAAATGTCATTAATAAAATCGATTTTTAAAGAAATTAAATTTATAGTAGAAAAAAATTTAAATTTAAAAAAAGGGCACAAAAATAAAATTGATTACTTTTTAAATCCATTAACTCTTGCCCATATATTTTATCTAGTAATTATAATTTTAAAATAAACGTTGGAATACAAAAATAACATTCTTTAAGTCATTTTCAACGCTAATCTAAAATTTTTGTTGCCATGTATTTCCAAATTTTTTGATAATGAAAGCATTTCTTTTCAATTTCCATCTGTAATAATTATAATACTTAATTATTTAATTTCAGATCAAAAATTAGTTCTTAGAAAGTTTGTAATAGAAAGTGTGTAATACAACTTTAAACAGTAATATTATGATTTGTTGAAATACAAATAATAGTCTCCTTCGATATATTAGATTTTAAAAAGTTATTTTATTTAAATAGCATTAAATTGTCTAGTTTACTATTCATATTCGTTTTAGTTGTTACTTTCAAATGGTGAATCAAGCATAACGAGTCATCACCATCAGAACTGCAAAAATTTAAAGCTAATTTCACTCTTTTGGTTTATTTTTAGTCGCCTTTCAGTTCCTATAATGAGAAAGTTCTTCAGTGATTAAACGTGTTAGAACAATGATGAGATCTTTAACTTTATTCTAATCTAAGACTATACATGCACTTGTTCACCCATCCATAACTTGGCGCGCAACTGAAAACGTCTGTTCTTGTTTCGAGCGGTCTTGCACGGTGGTGCCAGTTCATACACAGTTTGCGATATCGACACTTGCTTAGTTTAGTATTCCCTAACAATCCCCCCTCTCGAAGACACTATTTTTACTTAGTGATCTCTTCGCTAGTTATGCGTTTACAGTGGATCAGAAGTGTTGCTCTTAGTATCCGTGTACCCTGTTCGTATTGTTCTGTCAGTGATGTTTTCCTTAACTTTGTAGATCCACTTGCATTTGATAGTTGTTGCCCCTTCTGGCAGTTCCGTTAAGTTCCATACGTTATGTTTTCTTAGGGATTCCATTTCTTCCTCCATGGCGCCTGCCATCTGTCTGAGTCATTCCATTACAAGGCTTCTTTATATGTTAAAGGCTCTACACTGTCCTTGACTATCTTTACCAATTGTGGCAGATTCTTCTATGATTTTCATTTTATGATTCATGATTTTCACTTCTTTTTGGGTCTTTCCCTCTGTCCTGTTCGAGCGATTCGTGGTNCAAAAATTAGTTCTTAGAAAGTTTGTAATAGAAAGTGTGTAATACAACTTTAAACAGTAATATTATGATTTGTTGAAATACAAATAATAGTCTCCTTCGATATATTAGATTTTAAAAAGTTATTTTATTTAAATAGCATTAAATTGTCTAGTTTACTATTCATATTCGTTTTAGTTGTTACTTTCAAATGGTGAATCAAGCATAACGAGTCATCACCATCAGAACTGCAAAAATTTAAAGCTAATTTCACTCTTTTGGTTTATTTTTAGTCGCCTTTCAGTTCCTATAATCAGAAAGTTCTTCAGTGATTAAACGTGTTAGAACAATGATGAGATCTTTAACTTTATTCTAATCTAAGACTATACATGCACTTGTTCACCCATCCATAACTTGGCGCGCAACTGAAAACGTCTGTTCTTGTTTCGAGCGGTCTTGCACGGTGGTGCCAGTTCATACACAGTTTGCGATATCGACACTTGCTTAGTTTAGTATTCCCTAACAATCCCCCCTCTCGAAGACACTATTTTTACTTAGTGATCTCTTCGCTAGTTATGCGTTTACAGTGGATCAGAAGTGTTGCTCTTAGTATCCGTGTACCCTGTTCGTATTGTTCTGTCAGTGATGTTTTCCTTAACTTTGTAGATCCACTTGCATTTGATAGTTGTTGCCCCTTCTGGCAGTTCCGTTAAGTTCCATACGTTATGTTTTCTTAGGGATTCCATTTCTTCCTCCATGGCGCCTGCCATCTGTCTGAGTCATTCCATTACAAGGCTTCTTTATATGTTAAAGGCTCTACACTGTCCTTGACTATCTTTACCAATTGTGGCAGATTCTTCTATGATTTTCATTTTATGATTCATGATTTTCACTTCTTTTTGGGTCTTTCCCTCCGTCCTGTTCGAGCGATTCGTGGTCTCCCATTCGCTCTTACCAGTTCATTATTCTGTTCATTTCGTTTTTGTCTTCATTTTCAGATGAGATATTTTTTTGGGTTATAATTGTTCCTTATCATGTTCAAGGATATCTAATTCCACTTCTTTATTATCGAGTCTTTCCCTTCTGTCGGATCTGTCATCTTCAATCATTTCGATATTATCCATTGAGTTGCTTGGGAATTCGTTGATAAATTTGACATCTTTGCTTGTTATAACTCTTTTTTGTTTTCGTGTTCCATTGACGATACGCTTTTGTTATGCTAGAGTAGCCTGTAAATATGCATTTGATGGATTTCTCAAGGAATTTTCTTTTTCCTGGTTTCTTCTCTAATGTGAATGCCATTTGACCGAATGTCCTAAAATATTTGCTGGCATTCTACCTGTCCATAATTTGAAGGGTATGTCGCCTTCCAGGCTCTTTGATGGACATCTATTTCTAATACAGTAGATCCCCCTATAAAACCGTTTCCTATAGTTATGATTCCTATAAAAATTGTGGCAGTATCCGTAAACAACGGTAAAAATAACTCCTATAATACGTAAAACGTCATCGGGCAGCCGAACTACTTTCCCGCCGTCCGTAGCGCCACGCTACGGAGAGATTTCTATCGTCTGGACAGTATTATATAAATTATATATAAATTAGGTACTGTACATATAATTATATATTAATTATATATAAATTAGGTACTGTATATATAATTATATATTAACTTAATTTATTGTAACTTTATTATAATTAAATATATATTTTTCGCCGTCTAGCGTCACGCTACGGCGAGTTAGGCGACCTATCGTCTGTCCAGTACTGTAATTTTATACATTTCTTGTGAAAGAAACATTTCTTATTTAACGGCCATAAAAATTATTTATATTAAGGATGTCTCCAAAGGTCAACGAAGTTTTCGCAGAAAAATAATATCAGAAATCGCGGCCGCGGTTTGATGCGCTGTTCCGCGACGAAACCAAGCTTTAGCAACGGGCGTAGTCGAACGGTACACACTCGGTAAGCAATCCTACAATTTTTTGTTTATAACGTAGTTTATACGGATTATTTTCAAAAAAATATACGTATTTTGGAAATGTTGAGTCGAATTAGTCTAGAATCGATTAATTTTATGGAAGAAAACCTTTCAAACAGCCGTAGTCCGTAAACTATGATTCCTACAAAATTGATTCATAAAGAACGGAACGTATCTACCGTCTTATAGGGGGATCTACTGTATATAATGCGGTATGTACAGCCTCTACCCAAAAGCATTCTCTCAGTCCTGCTTGGAGTAGCATGCATCTTCCCATTTCCACTAGTGTTCTATTTCTTCTCTCTGCGATGCCGTTTTGTTGTGGCGTGTGGCAGGCTGTTTTCTCATGCATAATCCCTTTACGTTTCAGGAAGTTCTGAAATTCTCTATTAGTATATTCGGTTTCGTTGTCACTTCTTATTGACTTTATCTCTCTTCCTGTTTCATTTTCTACAAAGGCTAAGTATGTTTTCAATTTTTCGAAAGC